CTTCTACGTTTTTTCCGTTTTAGTCATCGATTTTAGTTTTAATGGAACAAACATAGGAATTTATCATGAATATAAAGATGAATCAAACAATAACAAATTCACCAGCAGTATGCTTGAAATAAATAAATTAAGAAAATAAAATCAAATGAAATTCACTGAGTTTAACTCTGTTATAAATGATGTCATTTCAATGTGTTTATTACTTGAAACCATTTTGACATACATAACTCTCCACATGCTTCGATAGACATTTGCTTTGCCTGGAGCTATCGAGAATCAAGCTTCAAGCGCATCTATATGTTTTAAAGTCTACCACAATAAAGACTTGGTCAAATAACATAAAAAAAACAGCAAACAAAAGGTCAACGAACTAGTTTGCATTTTTGGCGTTTTATTGGTCAGCTATTTTTGTAGTTATTTGAGTAAAAATTTCAGCTTTTTCAGCTATATTTTTTTTCAAAAATGAGTGGCAAGCCGGTATATGCCAACCAATTGCCTATTGAATGTTCTCTTTACACATTTAAAAAGCGACTGAAGGAAATAGTTCTTATGTGATCGTTCGTGCAGTCGTTTCTCTCCTAATTTATAATAACTAACGCCTAAGAAAGAGAGTTAGTTCTTTCTTTTTCTCTTCAAATTGATATAACCTCTTAATATAATGAAAAAAAAAACAATTGCAATCGACAAAAAATAACAAATATTTGGTCCTAAAAGTGCATATGTATGGACTGGTAACTTAGTTAGAAACCCAACATTCTTGGAAAAAAAATCCCAATATTGTTCCCTGAGTAATGTGGCCATAATTTGTATAGTAATTTAAATAGTAGATCTCAACCATTGTACAACTAGATGTAAGCGTGAAGAAACCAAATAAATAATAATAATAATCCGTCAGAAGTTGTAACTACCTATGGTTATGGGGTAGTGCGCGAACCTAATTCAGGCAGTGTTCTTCATGGCCAGTGGAGATACGCCGGATGGTGAAATTGTTGAACCACCTCGCGGTCCTAGCGGACGAGTTGTCACAGAAAAGTATGACAAAATCATGGGCATAAAGCAGGGTGTAAATGGAACGTCAACAGGTGGTCGCGGAATCTTTCTTCCCATTTCCTTCCGAAGGTCCTGCATCTAAGCGTCTGACAGCTCACTTCTAGCGCTACGAGACAAGTGTCAAAAGTTGTGACACAGATCGTTCAATGTATTATTGAATATTTTTTATATTTGTTAATAAAGTAGACAAAAAAAATAAAAATGTCACGAATGTGCAAAATTGATTTTTGTGAGAGCGTAGCACGTGATAAACATCATTTTTATAAGTAAAAAATGTTTCTTTCATTACGGAACATTGTTGATGCGTTCAATTTGTCGCGTTCATGAGTGCGTCTAACGACGTAAAGAATTGAAATGAACTTCACTGAATGCGCTCATCGCAAATTCATGTTTTACTTTGTTTTGTTAGTGTGGTGCAGGGGTTGTGTTTCCTTCTTCCTTGATTTTATCAATGATCCAAAGGTAGATTGAATATAATGAACTTATCCTAACATTCCTTTTAATTTCATCGCTGAACTTATTGCAGAGCGTGACGGCGAAGAATTAATGTCCTCATTGCTTGTTATTTACTATCCATTTCTCTCAACTGTTTTTGTTTCGAATGAGGGTTTTTATGCGGTGAGAAATTCATTTCTTGCTGTCTTCTTCCCTGTCATCCCATTTCAAAGTTAAATAGACAATATGCGAGTATATGAGAAAAGTGCATTTCATTTTATTTTCTATTGATCGTTGCGCAATTATACGATTATCGTGGTTAGATAGGGTTGTTGCCAAGCTCATAAGTACTATATACATGTAATTTAACCACTGATTTGTGCAAAGAAATCGAACGAAAAGGTGTGAAATGAAGAGAAAACGTGTTTTTTTATGCAAATGTCTTACATTATTTCGAGGATAAAAATCAGGAATAAACATTCTGAAGCGCATCAAGAAAAAAACTTCGCAAAAATGAATCATGAGTTCTGAATACCCAAAAGTGAACCATGAACCTCCTATACTGCCCATGTAAATTCATGTTTCACTTTTGCATATTCAGAACTCATGATTCATTTTTGCGAATTTTTTTTCTTGATGCGTTTCAGAATATTTATTCCTGTATTGCCATTTTCATTCTCACAGCCTCATCTACATGTACATGATGAGCCTTCACCACGAATTGGACAAAAAAGTACTCTTAAAGTAAATTCATATCATCACTGTGCACTCCAGCATCACATGCACTAAATTCCTCTGGTGCACACGTTTAGCTGTTGTTTTTTCATTCCATCTGAACAAACACAAAAGTGGTGTGTTGGGCTAAAGCCGTTTTCGAAAATGATTATTCGTTTATTGTGCAAAGTTTCGCTCTTATTAGGAGCATCATCAGGCTAGAGAACAAAAATGCACACAAAAAACAATGAGTAAGTGTTGAAACAATTGACAACAGCCGATAAAAACCAAATTACGAACCAGTTACATCTGAATTTAAAATGTTTTCGAACGTATTCCATTTTTTTCTATCAATTTCCACATATTGTATCAGCTACACGTGTCCATCAGAGAAATTTTGTTATTGAGCTTCATTTAGTGTCTGAATATGATTACACTATGCAACAACAAGAAACGACCACAGAGAAGGGAACTTATTTACAACGTTTTTTGGGCCCACTTAATCCAAATCTGGCGTTAGTTTGTCCTGGCACGTCTAGTTTCTAAGATACGTTCATTGCGGTTTCCACATCAGATTCGGATTAAGTGGACCAAAAAACCTTGGAAATGAGTCTACTCTTTTTGGGAGAATTTCGTTTTCGAAATTTGCTGCATAGTGTTAGTAGACCTCAATTTATAAATTATTCAACGCAGTTCACGTGTCAGCTATTAGTAGATGAATGGTATAAAAGAGGCAGCACCGCATGGGGAAGACCAAACGAATTCAAAGGATCTTCTAAAGAAGTACAAGACGGTTCTCTACTATCATTGTGCAACAGGTTAAAACTCTGTTTGGTTGGCAAATTAAAATGAAGCTACTACACGGTTTGTTTTCGGTGCTATTTATCGTTGAATTTTCGGTAAGTTCTTTCTATTCCTTTATCATTTTCACTTTTATCCAATAAAATACGATATTCCCTGAGAAATGAAAATTAACACGAAATTTCTTTTTCTAGGAACTTCAAGGAAAACGTAAGGCGTTTATGGTTTTCGAACTAGCTTTTTATGATTCCAAAAGATTTTTTCAGACTTTTATAATATTCAATTCGAAATTCCAACTTCTTTTCCAATGAACAGATGGCTTTTTCTCGCAATCTCTTCTTAAGGGCGAAGTGATTGAAAACATGTCACAGGCAAAGTTTGTAGCTGGAATCCATGCCCCCGCAAGTAAGTCTGCTTTAGAATCATTTTCTTTTTTCTTCGTGTGAATTTTTGTCCGAAAAATTCAAATATTCTATCAATTTTGCTAGGGGCTGACCACGCTTCAGAAAATTGAAAATAATGCTAGATTTTATAATTTTTTTCAAACAATATATTATTTACAACTGTGATATTTTTGGAACTTTCTCCAGAAACGATTCACTGCAAATGATAACTTTCAATTGTGCGTTGTCGTTTTACTGTCAGAAAATTCATCACATTGTGATGGTCAAAAGTATCGTTCATAGTGGATCATAGATTTAGTCAAATATTTGAGTCAACATACAACGGTAGGATGATATTAAAACTGAATGATAGAAACGAATTTTGTAGATGAAGAATTCGCGGTTTCCCCCTAGCAATTTTGTGTGTGTGTTCATTTTTTCTTCAAATATTATTGCTTTTACTGAGAATGAAACGATTTTATTACAAAATATTTGCATGAATACAAAGACCACCCAAATGATGCCAATAGAAAAATCAGGCGTAGGTGTACCGCGTTTATTCTGTCGAAAACGGAAATTATCACGAATGCCCATTGTGTGTATGAGACCCCATATGTTTATGTGGTAGTTGATACGAAAGTTGTATCAGAAGCAAACCAGAAAATTAAAATCAAAATCGAAAAAGAGAACATTGCATGGCACCCTCATTATAGTCATTTGATTTTTGGTGCATTTGATATTGCCAAAATTACACTGAAAACGCCGTTAGAATTCAGCGATACCGTTGGTAGTATCGAAGTCGTTGATAAGGATTACAAATTGAATAACCCATCAGAAGTGGTCACTGCCTATGGATATGGCGTGTTGAACAACACCGGACCATCGATATTGAGGCGTTGCGATGCAAACTATATATCTGGTGTCGAACGAGCCAACACATTTAAGACAAGTCAGACTTTGTACTTTACAACTGGTGAAGCTACGAACGATGGCGAAATTATTACACACGGCGATTCGGGTGGACCAGTCGTTTCCAAAACAAATGGCAAAATCGTGGGCATAACTACGGGTTATGGCACAACAAGTGGCCGCGGAATGTTCTCTCCAATTACTCTATTTCTTGATTTTATTCATGACCCAAAGGTATCTAATCACAATGCCCCAATTTTTATTCTCAACAACGCGGACAAAATCATTTTTTGCATTAATTTTAGAGCGTGAAACCAATTCCACCTCCGCTTACACCTAACGAAGCTAAATTTATAGCCGATATATTGGCACCGGCAAGTAAGTGTGCATTCGAAATTTGAACTAAATCAAACCGTTTCTAACGTCACTTTTTGTAATTTTAAATAGAGGAGAGGCAAAAGTGGAGATTTTTCATGATTCATAAACATAAATATTCATTCATTCGGAGATGTTTTTCTATTACAGAATTTCTTACTGCTTACAAAAAAGATTTTGCCGATGCTGGCGAAAATGCTCAACTAAAATTTAATGCAATCATTTTGTCGAAAACGGAGATTTTGACCTGTGCGCATAGTGTGCACGGCGCCCCATATGTCTACGTAACTGTTAATAAACTATCAAGAAATGCGACAGAACTTAAAGTCACTGAAGACCAGATAGAAATTCATGAGAAATACGCATCGTCGGGATTCGCATTTAACGTTGCCAAGATTACACTTGAAGAACCGTTGGAGTTCAACGATAACGTCGGCAGCATCGATTTGGTGGACAAAGATTACGAAATGAATGACCCGTCCGAAATGGTCACTGTCTACGGTGATATGATAGTGGATGGAACAATGAGAACGAGGCGTTATGATACAAAGTATTTGGATGGCGCCAAATGCAAACCGAAATATAGCGCTGCATTTGATGCAAATCATTTGATGTGTTACACTTTAAATGGAAGCATGGGAACTCCCTCTACGTTCGGAGGTCCAATGATTTCAAAAAAGAATAACAAACTCGTGGGTATGACCATATTTCATTCGGGTGGTAAGCCAGTTATTTTTCAACCGATTGCACCGTTGCTTGATTGGATCCTGAAGCCAAATGTAAAACGTAATCAAAAAAGAAGAATGGCTTGAAAAAAGGGGTTTCAGGTGCCTGGAAAAGCTGAATACCGTCTCTTTTTTTGCCTCTGACATTTGATTTTCAACAAAAGAACCGAATAAATTTGAAAATTTGAGAAGAATGCATTTTATTTTTCATTAGCCCATGCACAGTTATATGATTATCTGAAATGATTGCGATGAAAAGTAATTTGAAGAGTGAATTGAATCGACTCCAAAAGCAAATTAACATCACAGTCAAATCGGAATGCAATAAATTTTGGGACAACAAATTGAAGAGTATCACCAAAGGCACATTTGATGACACCGACAAAGCAAATTGCCTATCGAAAATTTTCGAAGAGTCACACAAAATCACAGCAGATTTAACCCATGAAAATGATACCGTTGTGACTAACAAAGTGAGAACGTTCAATTGTTTCTCGTGGTTGCACTGCCAATCACCTTATATCAATGTCGATGAAGTCACCAATCTCATCAAATCACTCAAACCATTCAAATCAGCGACCCAGACACAATCCAGAATATTCTTCTGAAGAATCTACCGCAAACAG